ATCGCTCCACTCCTGAAGTAAAGCGTACATGTTTAGCTACATTCACTTTTTGGGGGTGCCAAGGCTCCAGAACGGGTCAAGAGGCCCCCCAACTGGCCCCTAACCCGATCCAGACGCCCCCACAAAGCCCCAAGAGGCACCCAAGACAGCCCTAGAGAGTCCCAAGACGGCCCAAGAGAGCCCAAAGACGGCCCAGGATGACCCCAAGAGGCTCCCAAGAAACCCCCAAGACAGCCGCCCCAAGAAGCCCCCAGCAGAGCCCCACGACGGCCAGAGCCCCCGAGACAGCCCACAAAGGACCCAAAACGGTCCAAAAGGGCCCCACGACGGTCTGGAAGGGCCTCTAAGAAAACCCACGAAGCGCCCAATGACAGGGACTCGCCTCCCACTCCGTTCGTGCTTCCCCCTTCTGTGCCCACGACTGCTCCAGAAACTGGGACCCCAAGGGGTCGGCGGATTCGGACCTGTAAGTTCGACCCCACGCACATGCGATAGGTTCAAGTATTCACATCGGGCTGCGTCTGGATTTCCTATCACACGGATGACTATTCATCCTTATCACACACAAACTCACGTATGCATGATGTTTGACGTGGTTGTCCCACAAGTGGTGTTGTCTGAATCTTCCATGGGAAAAGGATACGTCTCTCTTGGCTTGCAAGTTGCCACGCCCATGTGATTGTCTTCTGACAATTAGACGCCTCCCACCTTGAACAGCATACATTGGAAGGCGGGGGTCAGGACTACGCCCAGGGAAGCGCTGCAGGATCAAAAACAACTTCCAATAGAACCCAACAGGCACTCAAAGACCACCAGAAGCCCCAAAACAATCTCGCGAGATTCCCGCAAAGCCATCAAAGGAGGAGGCCACGCAATAAAATCTGAAAATGGTAACAGGGACGCGTTCGCAAACGACAAATAAAAATGGAGAGGAAATATGAAGGACAAATGATATTGAACAATTTTGTAACAACGATGGAGCGACCGGCAACAAGGAACCTTCGTCCTTTGGGGTATTTTCTCTCTTTCTCTCTCTATCTCTCCCGCGCCCCGCCTGCCGCCTGCGCGACGATCCCGAAGGGCCAAGGTGCAGGGCGCGAAGCGCCAATGCAGTCTTGAAGAGAGAGAGAGAGAGAGAGAGATTTCTGTAAATACATATATATATACTAGAACCATCGCGCGCGCTTCGCGCGCGCTCAGGTTCTAGTTGAGGTCACCGCTCAGGTGCGATGCCCGCGACGACTCTTACCACGAAGGCGGCGGCGCGCACGCCGCTCACGTTCGCACGCCATGTTCCGGAGGAGCGCTCCCGGAGCACGGGGCGCCGGAGGCTCCGCCGCTCTTCCCACCTTCCCAGACTGTCCTGCCGAGGAACTCTTGGGTTGCGCAGGGCCGGTCTTGCGGGCCCGCCTGGGGCTCTCTGGGCCCGCCTGGGGCTGTCTGGGAGCGGCCCTGGAGGCGCCCTGGGCCCGATCTGAGCGTCGAAGAGCCGAGAAGACAAGAGGGCCAAGATCCTCCAACTCCTGCGTAGAATGAACGATGTTGGCCTGTTGGGACCCTCTTGGGGGTGCTCCTGGAGGCGTCTTGAGCCATGTTTGAAGCCTCTTGGGAGCTACCTGGGGCCTCCTGGGGCTGTCTTGAGGTGGCAGCCCTGGGTTTTCCGGACGCGGTCCGTCTCTTGGACACCTCTCGGGCCTGTGTTGGGGCACCCGTGGGCTGCCCTGGGCGCTTCTTGGGGCAGCCTTGGGCTCTCCGGGACCGCCTCGGGGCGGCTTTGGGCGCTTCTGGAGCTGTTTGGGGGCGGTCTCGGAGGCCTCCTGGGCCGCCTAGGAGCGTCGGACAGCCGCAAAGATCAGAAGGCCAAAACCCTTCCAAAACTATGGTAAAACCATCCATGTTTGGCATGCTGGGGCCATCGTGGGAGTGCTCTTAGAAGCGTTTGGAGCCATGTTGGAGGACTCTTGGGAGCTGCCTGGGGCCTCCAGGGTCACTGTTGAGGCGGGAGCCCTGGGTGTTCGGTACGCGGTCCCTCTCTTGGGCCCTTCTTGGGCTTGTTTTGGAGCCTTCTTGGGCTGTCGTGGGCGCTTCTTGGGCCAGCCTTGGGCTCTCCGGGGCCGCCTTGGGCTTCTCTTGGGGGGCCTCTAGGGCTGCTTGGGGGCGAACCTGGAGACCTCCTGGGCCGTCGTGGAGCGTCGTACAACTGAAAAAAAAGGCCAAAATCCTTCCGAAACCCTCGGATAACCATCAATTTTGGCCTCCCGGGGCTCTCTTGGGAGTGTTCCTGGAAGCGTCCGGAGCCATGTTGGAGGCCTCCCGAAACCTCTACCACGTGCTTCGGCGACATGGGTCGAAGATGGGAACCATTCCTGGTGCTGAAACAGCACCAGGGTCCGTCCAGAGCCGCTCGGGAGACGCCCAGGAGCGGCTCTGGAGAGGCCCGGGGGGTGGGGGGTCCCACCATGGCGAGTCGAGGCACCTGACCAGAGGCCCCCGGCCCCGTACCCCGACAGATATTCCTCTTCCTATATTTTTACAAGCCTGGGGGGGGGAAAACCATCCCCCCCCCCCTAAAAAAAACTGGACCCCCGGGATCTGGGGTTCTTGGGCTCCCTTGGACGTCCTTGGAAAAGGTCCCCCAGCTTTCCAGTTCTCCACAAACGCCTTGCCAGCAAACCCAGAGCGATCCGAGGGGTCGTCAGAAAGGCTAAAGGGAGGCCCCAGACAGCACAAGAGCGCTCCAAGAGGGACTCCAATTGCGTCAGGACGGCCCAAAAGACCCCGAAGGCACCCTAAAAAGCTTTCCAAGGGGCCTTCAAAGCACAAAAATCGTCCCATTCCCTTTGTAAGCCTTTCGGATTTCATCAGCTTTCAAGACGGTTTCAAAGCCCCCGAGATCGCCTCCAGACGCCCCAGAAGGCCCCCAAGAAAGCTTCAAGACGGCCGAGCCGGGCCCCACGATCGCCCAAAGCTTCAAGACGGCCGAGCCGGGCCCCACGATCGCCCACGAGAGCCCCAAGACAGCCCATAATGGAACCAAGAGGCCCCCCAAGGGCTCCCAGCACAGACCCAAAAGGGCCATGGGAGGTCCCCGGAAGTGCCCAGGAGGATGGGTCCAAAGGGGGCTCCAGCGGGCCCAAGCTCCCCAAGACGGCCCAAGAAGGCCCCAGGACGGCCCATGAATGCGCCAAAACGGCCCACGAGGGCCCCGAAAACACCCCCACGATGTTTCCGAATGCCAACATTCATTGATTTTGCCCCCATGACATTTCACATTGTGACCCAGTCGTTGAGGGTCTCGTGGCATGCAGCGAAGATGCCCGAGGATGCCCCCAACCACTTTCACAAGATGATCGTGAGGCCTCCAGGGGTCCCAGAAGCCCCTGAGAGGCAATGGACTCCTACGCGCGCATCCCCTTGGATTGGCAATGCTTGGAAGTATGATGCATGGCTTTACATTGATACGGAACGTGCATGGACGTGCGCGTGTATACATACATGCGCGCATGTAAGCACGCACGCATTCCGCTTGCGTGCAGAACTCAAAGGACCAAGGTGCATGGCGCGCAGCGCCAATACAGTCTTGTGCATAAAAATATAAATAAATATATATATATATATATGTATACACAGACGCAGTGGAACGTGCTGTCGAATCACACGAGGGCGCACACTGCTGACTGGCGACGACACTCTCTCGGGCGTATCACTAAGCCGCCTGAACCGTCGCCTGGGCCACCTTGGCACAAGGACGCCGCACTTGCACGGTTTCTCCCGGGGCCGCAGGCGACCCGAGGAGGAGGAGGAGGAGGAGGAGGAGGAGAAGAAGAAGGAGGGAGGAGAAGAAGAAGAAGAAGAAGGGAGGAGAAGAAGAAGAAGAAGGAGGGAGGAGAAGAAGAAGAAGAAGGGAGGAGAAGAAGGAGGAGGAGGACGGATCGGCAAAGCCCTTCGGAGAAACCCTCCAGCCGCACTCCCGCGCGCGCTGTGCTGCCGAGGCGCGAGGCGACGGGAGGACTGGCCGCGGTCCCAGCCCTCTCCGCGTGGGGCTGGCGCTGCCAGTCCCTGCGTGGCTCTCTGCTTCGTCGGGGGGGGCACCGAGGGGGACAGGACGGGATAGGACAAACGCCGATGTGCGCCAGACCTCCGCTGCACTGACACTGCCAATCCCTGCGGGCTTCCCCTGTTTCAGCGGGGGGGCACAGAGGTGGACGGGACAGGACAGGACAGGCCCCGATGTGCGCCTTGGGGGGCGGCCCTCTAAGAGCTCGGCGGGGGCGCCAGAGCGTCGAGACACAGATGTAGCAGCACATGGTTGCTTTACGATCTCGAGTGTGTACTATTGGCTCCACTGGTGCAATCCTTCCCATGGGTTTGAACATGCGGCGTCATAAAAACAAGAGGTTGGGGCACAAAGGTGGGGTTGGGGCAAAGGTGGGGTTGGAAGGAAGATCGCTCCGAACGGCCCCTGGACGAAGGAAACGCGTCCAAGAGGACCATCCAGCTGGGCCTTCTCCCCAGCCCCACCTTGGGATAACCCTCCCTCTATGAACCCCCGATTTCGGTCTCTGGAGGCCTGTGTTTCTGGGCCCCAGAACCATCAGAGAGCGGGACCCGGGGAAAGCGTCGAGACCTCCAGGACGCACCATCGGGCAGCAATTGATGGGAAAGAGAATGGAGGAGCGGGGGGACGAGGAAGGGACGTAGGGTCGACGACGGGGCAGAGGAGAAGAGGGGCGAGCACGAGTTCCAACCTTACCACACGCACGCTCGCAAACACGCACGTTTGACGCCGACGAACAGTACCTTACGAGAGCAACGACACCTGAACTATGGGGCATGTAAAAGGCCATATACGAACGGAAATCCATCATGCAGTGCCACCCAGGAGAGAACTCATGAGAGGACAGAAGGCCTGCTTGAGCTTCGCTTCAAGCTAGAAAGGCAACACAGGTCAACAGGAAGCGAGCATGTGTGAGGCAATAGAGCATGGCAAGCAAGCTCGCCGCAATCGTTGGAGCATACGCCCCACGCACCAGTAGTCCATCTGCAGCCGCTAACGCTGTGGCACGACTCATTGAACGCTGTGGCCTCAGCGCACATGGGGGAGGATAAGAAAGACATCGTGCATCCGCCCCCCCCCCCCGCGCCAGATATATGATGTTGTACTCGCTTAGTATTAGACCACTTGTCAGGAAAAAAAAAAAAAAAAAAAAAAAAAAAAAAAAAAAAAACGCCACGCATAAACAAACAAACAAACAAACAAACAAACGAAAACGCTCGAGGAGACGGTGTGTGTAACGAATATCGCCCCGCAAGGAAATCAGAAGTGTCAGACGACCATGGGTGCCGTCCAATGTCCACTTCGCTTGCAATGGTAGGCATGGCCCAACCACCAACCCGCGTCGGACTGTCTTGTTACACTTCATTGTCAAAAACAACCGTTAAAATGGACCAAAGCATCTAGAACACGCCAGGATGCCAGGATGCTAGGGTTACCTTGGACCGAGGAAGCATAAAGTACGCAAAGGATCCCCGGGGGCGAGGTTTCAACGGCTCGTCCTTACTGCAAGCTTGTACTGTACACCACTGCCTCTTGCAAAACACTTGCTGCTTGCTAGATCCACTTGGGGATGCCCTCGTGCTACATGAGCGTATGGACCTCATTTGAGTGGCGCTGGTTCGCCCTTCCGCTGAAACGCGACCCCAGGAACTGTCCCAGAGCGCGCCATGACCAGAATTTCGAAGCGATGCCAGCCGTTGCGACGAGGGCGCCCCCAGGAGCCCCCGCCCCGAAAGGGCGAAGGCAGGTCGAAAGGGCAGGGCGGGCGTTTCGCCTGAGATGTCCTCACCATTTGTGACCCTGAAGCCTACAACCTGACAACAGCTTCACACATGGAGGGCGGGTGGCTTTCAAAATGGAACTCTCGCTTGAGCTCCGCGCACATTCGTTTTCAACAATTTGAAAGAGCTCCACGGATTGAGGGCGGGTCGTCTTCAAAACGTCGCTCTCGCCTTAGCACCGCGCACATTCGTCGTAAAAACGTGCACGAGCTTCACGGATTCAGGGCAGGTGAAAGGCTTCAAGCAGTGAGGGCGGGTCGTTTGCAAAATACGGCTATCGCCTTGGCGCCGCGCACATTCGTTTTTAACAATTTGAAAGAGCTCCACGGATTGAGTGCGGGTCGTTTTGAAAATGTGGCTCTCGCCTCAGCACCGCGCACATTCGTCTTACAAAATAACAAGAGTTTCACGGGTTGAGGGCGGCTCTCTTTCAACATGTGGCTCTCGCCGTAGCGCCGCGCACATTCGTTCTAAAAGTTCACCGGATTTCACACATTCTCATGGTTAACGTGCAAGAAGTGGTGTGTTGGACCGGTTCATACTTGCCAGGGCGCAACGGTTACGTTGACTCACTGCGTAGGAGTCCCAGGAGTGGCGTTTTGGCATGATTCAGGATCGGCAAGACCTCACAATCAGGTTACCTCGTGGCGTTGAAGTCCTGAGGATGGTGTTTGGGCACGCTTCAGGATTTGTACACAGTTGTCCCCCAACGGGGCAAGTCCCTTAGTGGGAATGCACGCTTGTAGGGCATGTGAAGAGGGAGCTTGGAGGGAGGGTGTATTCCAACATCGCTGATGAGTCTTAGGTTTACACTGGTCCTCCTCCTCCTCCTCCTCCTCCTTCTCATCCTCCTCCTCTTCCTCTCCCCCCCACTCCTCTTCCACCTCCTCCCGAAACCTCCAACGTTGCGATTACCTCCATCCGCGGCCCCCCGCGCCTTCCACGGGGCCCAGAAGCAGCCCTGGAAGCCGGAAACTGCAAAACAATCCGGCCCGATCGTCAAAATCCCTCAAGGGACCTCTTCCTCCTCCTCCTCCTCCTCCTCCTCCTCCTCCTCCTCCTCCTCATCATCATCATCATCATCATCATCATCATCATCATCATCATCATCATCATCATCATCATCATCATCATCCTCGTTGTCTTCCTCCTCCTCCTCCTCGTCCTCCTCCTCGTCGTCCTCCTCCTCCTTCCTCCTCCTCCTCGTCCTCCGCCTCCTCCTCATCCTCCTCCTCCTCCTCCTACTCACCCCGAAAACCGCCCCGCCCCACCTGGGAAGCTATCCTCGGGCGAGCTCTGACAAGGACTTCGATGCGGATCCAGCCGTGGTAACTAGAGGCCTCCCGCAGGCCCAAGACAGTTACGAAAACATCCAAAACCCTCGATCCTCGATCCTCGATTCTCGATCCCTCCATCCCTCCTTGTCCTCCTCCTCCTCCTCCTCCTCATCCTCCTCCTTCTCCTCCTCCTCCTCCTCTTCATCCTCTTTCTCCTCTTCCTCCTCTTCCTCCTCCTCCTCCTCCCCACTCAAGATCGGTCCCTGGATGCCTCTGGGATCCGTCCTGGCCAATTTGTTCGTCCCCGATCGATTTCCAACGGCCATGGGACCCAAAACGGGCCCTCCGAGGCCGAAACCGAGGAAAGCCTCAGGCGCGACTGCTGAGAATCCTAGCCCCTCTCCTGGTGTCCGACGACGACAGACGGCGACCGACGACAACCGACCACGACGAGGAGGGCGGCTGCTGCGGCGGCGACGTCGACGACGGACGACGGCGACGCTGACGGCGACGAGTGCAGCCGCGGTAACGGTGACGACGACGACGACGACGACAAGACGACGGGACGACGGGACGACGAAAACAACGAAACACGATCAACGACGTTGACGCTGACGCTGACGCTGACGACGACGACAACGATGACGACGACGACGACGACGACGACGACGACGACGACGACGACGACGACTACGATGACGACAACGACGACGGCGACGACGACGACGACTATATTGACGACTTCGACGGCGGCGGCGGCGGCGACGACGACTACGACGAACGACGACAACGACGATGACGGCGACGACGAAGAAGACGTTGACGACGACGACGACGACGACGACGACGACGACGACAACGGCGGCGACGACGACAAGGATGAGGGCGAGGACGACGACGATGACGACGACGACGACGAACGACGCACGACGACGACGACGACGACGAAGAAGACGAAGACGGCAGCGGCGGCAACAACAACGACGACTAGACGACGAGACGAGCGACGGCGACGAGCGACGAGTGACGCGGCAAGAACGGCGGGGGCCGCGGCGCGCCTTCTTGGGCGAGTCCCTGCAGCCGTCGGGCGCCTGCACCCCCCTCCTCGCGCTCACTCCGGCGCCTCCCTCCGCCCTCTCCGGGGCCTCCAGCCACCCCAGCTCCTCGGGACTGGATCGGGGTCTGTGAGGAAGACCAGAGAAAGGAAGGAGGATCCGAGGAAGGATCACTCCCTCGTCTGCCCCATCCTCAGCCCTCTCTCCCTGTCACCTGTCCATCGTCGCACTCTCGATCGTCCTCCCTGACGTCCCGGTCGTGCACTGGGTCCATTCTCTCCACATCTCGACCTCCTTCATCTTACTTCCGACCTACTCTCCGTCCCTCTTGCACAGCCGTGACAACAAAAGTTTCTCTTCAATTTGCTATGATGAAGATCTCTCCCATCCCTCTCAAGATTCCGAACGCGACATGATGCTGGGATCATTCGGCGGAGTAGTTTCCGATCCCGGAGACATTAATAACTCTGTTACCCCAAAACAAAATCAAAAACTACTTCGCGCCAAACCATATCAACTATCGAGCGGGATGCGATTGCGCGCGGAGTAGTTTTAGTAAAACTACTCCGAACTACTCCGCACGAGCGCGTCATTCCAAAAGACACATTGAAAGAAACTTTCTTCACGGCGATGTATCCCGAAGTAACCCACCTCCCTCGTCCATGTCCTATAGTGTTTTCACCCTCCATATGTTGCATCGCCTGCTCAATCCTCGCCTCTCCTCCCCCAATCACTGCTGCATCCTCGCACTCCATCCTCGCCTGCGCCCGCCCATGCCCACCGTCCACCGTCCACTTCGCTTCCCCCAGCTATCCTGATGCTTTCAGGGCGCGCCCCTAACTCCCCTTCCTCCTACTATTCCTCCTTATCCTCCTCCTCATCCTCATCCCTTTTCACCTCCCTCCTGAAACCCCTCTGAATGTATCTGGGACCTGAAAGAAGCCCAAGAGCTCCAAACCCTCATAGAGCTTCGTGATCATCGTCCTCATTCCTAGTCGCTCTTCTCATCCATCCTCCTCGTCCTCAAGTTTATAAGCATCATCATCATCATCATCATCATCATCATCATCAGCAGCATCATCATCATCAGCAGCAGCAGTAGTATCAGCATCAGCATCAGCATCAGCATCATCATCGCCATCACCATCATCATCATCAGCATCATCATCCTCATCATCATCATCAACAACATTATCGTCATCATCATAATCATCGTCATCATCATCATGACATTATTACTCATCATCTTCATCATCGTCATCATCAGCAGCATCATCAGCAGCAGCATCAGCATCAGCATCAGCATCATCATCATCAGCAGCATCGTCATAATCATCATCATCATCATCATCATCATCATTGTCAGCATTGTCATCATTGTCACCATTGTCATCAGAATCATCATCATCAGCATCATCATCATGATCCACATCATCATCACCACCACAGCCACCATCGTCATCCTCAGCAGCAGCATCATCACCATTATCATCAGCATCAGCAGCATCGTCGTCGTCATCATCGTCATCGTCATCGTCATGATCAGCTTAATCGTCAGCGTCATCATCACCACCACCATCACCATCACCATCACCGTCACCACTACAGTCATCATCGTCATCATCGCCATCATACTAATACTCACTCTCCTCAGTATCATCATCAGCAGCATTATCATCATCACCATCACCATCATCAGCAGCAGCATCCTCATCCTCATCGTCATCATCATCATCATCATCATCATCATCATCATCATCAT